GCTTCTGTTAAATGGGTTTGTTTTAAATACTGGCCCTCGAGCTATTTCATACATTAGCATCCCCAAACCAACAGCCTGATCCACCTGGGGGACCCCACCTATGGGCTCTCTGATTACCTGGGTCTCTAGTCCTGTCTTTACTATAAAATACTGTGTTTGTACGTAAGGCCAGAATCTGGATTTTCTCTAATCTCACCCGAATTTTAAAACCCTCCTTAGGCCTCTCCTTTCAGGAGTTCCCTCCCCTAACCCTCCCCTAACCTGGGCCCTGTATCGCAGTGAACGGTAAACAATGAATGAATGAATGAATGAATGAATGAATGAATGAATGAGGACCTGGAGGCTTTTCTGGTTTTGTGGAGGTTGAAGAGGCCGGGGGAGAGCAGATCTCCAGACACAGAACCCCATATAACTCTAAGTAACCAGATCTCCTATCGTGTTGCTTGGGCTTGGGCAGAGCTTGAATGTTCCATCGTTCGTTTGTGGCTTGGGCAGTTAGGAGGAGGCAGTTTCTGGAGGGGGGTGAGATGACAGCCACATTGGCATGGTGATGTGCTGGGTTTGGGAGTTTCTTGGACATTTTGAAGAACCATCTGAACTCTTCAAGTGGGGAATGGTAAACATTTTTATTGAAGGGAGATGGCCTTCCCCTCCCTCATACCCGTTGTTTGGAAAAACAGAGGGGGACATAAAGGGAGAAATCCACTCACTCCCATTCCCCCTCACCCCCACCTCCCCTTCTGAGAACCTAATTGACAAGATGCAGGAGGCCTTAGGCCAGACTTGACTAACAGTGGTCTCAGGTCTCATTAAATGATGCTTGTGAGGGGAATTCAAAAGGATCTGGATAGGGATCCATTGAATGGGGAATAAATGTAAATCTGCTTGCACCCCTCCCCCAGTCAGTGGCACCAGGGAAGGCGGGTTTCAGGAAACAGCTTCATCCTCACACAATCTATAAAAAGCCACAGTGAGTCAGTAGTGTGATGCGACCACCACGGTGGAATCCAGACTCCGTGATGGTCTCTGAGTCGCCTTCGCCCAGCAGAACAGGGGCTTCCAACCTGGAACACAGGGCTAGGATGTCCCAGCAGGTGTGGCCTGATGGCAGACTGGGGATGTGATGATAGCGGGGCGTCTACGAAGGAATATCTCCTTGACTTTTTGAGGCAGCACCTGGAGGTGAAATATTTGCCTCCTAAGGTGGAGTTGTCCTTGTCACTTGCAGAGATGTTGAAGAACATACTCAGGCATCTGGAAGATGTCCTCGGGCTCATGCACACTCTGGAATTTATCAATAAGATAAGGGTTCCTCCATTTAAAAAAGATTTCAAAATGATCTCCCCTCTAACATCTCATTTAGTTTCTGTAACCTCAAGGGCACACGCACCTACCCTTTCGGCTTTTGTAACGAAGCCACAGGTGGCGCCAATAGCTGGAACTTGGTAAATGGCACCTTCACGTCCCCATCCCACACTAGGTTTCCACCCTCT